TCCTATCTGTTTTGCTAATGCTCCCACATGCATAGATCAGTCTTCACACCTTCTTCCTCTCATTTTGCCTCTTTTGGCATGTATTCTGTTTGCCTGCCATATGTAACCACTCAGACCCAATTTAAAGTTTGAAAAATATCTTTCCCTGTATTTTGCATTTCTATGCGTTTGGAACGTAGCGTAAGTTTTCTCTATCAAAATCTGATCTCCTTTTCTTTTTTCTGGCTAATTTCAAAGTTAATTTCAAAAAAGTATTTCCTCCTCTTTTATCATTTTTGGCCCAACTCTGAATGTAGAGAACACAAAAAACGTAGCAGTGCTTCAGAGAAATCTCTTTGTAGTGCTGTGAAGGCAATACTAATAGGTGGTGTCTTTGTGGGACACCTGGATTTGATCAGAGAGTTCTCATCTAACCTTTAGCTGTCTCTTTGTGTGTGAACTTACCTTGATGTAAAAAAAGATCCTGCAACAATTTACTTTTTACTACTACAGGAATGAAGGTTTGTCACATGTAAGATATTTAATTCATAATTCATAGAATGCCCCTTGGAGTAATTGCCCTAAAACCAAAAGTTTGTTTCCTAATTTATCTGATGGCTCCTCATTGACACAAGCAAACTCTCTTAAAACTATGTCACCCACCATGTCACAGACTAGGACAATTGCTTATGTAGTTACTCCAGATTGAATCTTCTTTTTCCCCATCTATGCTTTCTCCATTTTCTAAGATCTAGAGCAAGTAGCACTTCTTTCTCAGATTCCTCATAGTTTACACCCACATTGATCTCAACTTTCTTAATCTCTTGAAGCAGTAATTGTCTTTCCCATTTTAGCTCTTAATTATAGAGTCTTAAACAGCCTGGAATACTCTTCCTTCTCTCCTTTGCCTGAAAAACACATACTTGTTATTAAAGCCTCATGGTAAGCATCACCTCCTCCTTGAAGTCTCCCTGGACCACTCCCACACTCTGCCACCTAAGGAAGTATCCCCTTGACATTGCTCCCATAGCATCATCTGTATGAGAGTAGAGTATGCATCCCTCTGTTTGGTAACATGTTCACCTTCTCTGCCTCCCCCTTGCAGAGTGAGTTTCTTTCTCATAGGCAGCTAATCATGTTCAACTCTACCTTACCAACATTCAGCCTTGGGCCTGGACAAGTAAAGAAACTCAATATGTATTTGATGAAATAATAAATGAATAAACACAAAAAATAAATTAACAGGCAAAGGAATGAATTATTACAGTTATGTATATCAGATAATTACTGATGCATATAAATTAACTCATTATGTGTATAAGTTAATCAACTAGTCATGCACATGAATTAATCAATCATTACATTTATCAACTTCGGACCATCAAATCAATTAACAATATGTATCAATTAATGATTATGTGTATGATTTATTTCTTGTTGAATAAATAGAGGATAAAAAAATGAGTGTATAAGATATGTATACGAACTTTCCTAATTAACTGAGGAGATCTTGTTTTATTCACTGAAATAGACTAGATGTTTGTGTCTCCTAAAAATTCATTTGTTGATGCCTAATCCCCAATACGATGGTATTTGGAGGGGGGTGTGTTTTTGGGAGTTGCTTAAGTCATGAGGGTGTGGCCCTCATGAATGGGATTAGTACCCTTATAACAGAGACCCCAAAGAGCTCTCTTGCCCCTTCCACCATGTGGAGACACAACAAGAGATTAGCTGCCTGTGAACCAGGAAGTGGGATCTCATTCCACATTGAGTCTGCCAATGCCTTGATCTTGGACTTCTCAGTGTCTAGATTAAATTCACGAGAAATAAATATCTGTTGCTTATAAGTCACCTAGTCTATGGTCTTTTTCATTACAGTAGCACAAATGGATTAAGATATTCACATTGACTTTTATTAGAAATATAGTTTACTAAACTTTAAGGAAGTTAGGAAAACAAAGAAGAAAATAAGGAAGAAATTATTGGGAGGAAAAATACTGATAAACCCAGTGCTTTCACCTGATATATTTTCTTTACATGTTTTGCATGTAGTTAATAGGTTCTACTATTTTGCATGCCATCATTAGAATGACTATATGATACTCAATGTAATAGGCAGCCACAGTTTCACTTATAGAGACCCACCAGTCGAAGACCATGAGGGCACATCTGAGTGAAGCAAAGTAAGATTATTGAACTTGTTTGCAGCCAAGGAGGGTTCTCTTTAAAGCAGCTATGGAGGTCTTGGTAGGAGGATTTTGAAGAAGGTCTATTAAAGGATGATGGTTTATGCTGGGTGAGTCTAAGCAAGGCATAAAGATGAGGGGGCCATTTGTGAATTGGATATTGTCAAAAATCCAGGGCAATTCAGGGATTGGCCATCTTGGCAATTGCTTTCTTGGAGATGAGAAGATCAAAGCAATGCTGGATATCATTGGCAAATAAGTAGTAGTCTCTTGGGTTTGTATAAACAGGTGGCTGTTCATTGCTTTTGTGGCTGTGAATGTCCTTTTTCTCTGTCTTGTCAGACTTGGTCACAGCCTTGCTTGCCTGATCAATGTTGATGTTCTGTGCATGTCGTTTATCACAGTCTAGCTCTGCCTGTTGCCAAGGTTGATTTTCACTTTCTGAAAATACTAACATATTATTGGACATTTACTTTTTCAACTCCAGGTGTGAAATGCTGAACACCTTATAAATGTAGCTTTTTATTTTGAAAATAGGATCCCAAAGATGGCCTTTAGTATCAATTTGTGGTCATTTTTCCTTTGGTCTCTCTCTCTTTCCATAGCCATTATTTTCCCGCCAAATTGCCATATGCCAGTTTGAACTATCAAAAATAATATATGATCCTGTACTTCCATCGTTGTTGTGAACTGCATATTTAAAAAATTATTTAATAGATGAAATGGAATACAATTTTTAACTTTAGTTTTTATAATTACTTGTGAGGTTGAATTTTTTGTTTTATGCATTGCCTTTGAACTTTTTGATTTATCTGTTCATATTTTTTGTCAATTAGCTAAGGCTTAATGTTTCTTATTTCATCTATTTTAGCTCTTTAAGTAATAAGCTGAAAGTATTTTTTACAGTCTAGTTTAAAAACAATTTTTAGCATGTTAAAAATTTCATACAGTCCTACTTACCCGTTTTCTCCCTTTGTGCTTTCTACTATGCCCTTCTTATTTTCATACGTCCCTCCATCCTTCAAAATTTGATTCTACTATTAAATTTAATTCTTCAAGCTGTCTGAAATTAGGTTGGAAAATGGTAAAAAATTCACCTTTAAAATATTACTATTGTTGATATTATCTACTCAATTTCTCACCATGCATCTTATTTATTTTCCTACTCAGCCACATCTTTGGACAGATTTGTGTATATTATTGATACTAAAACTGAACATTTGATATTTTTAGAAATACTGTTTTAATACACAAAATACTTAAATAATTTCTTCAGGGCAAACATTTCACATTTCAGTTATTGGTAAAAAAATCACAATAGGAACTATAAATGAATGAATAGATGAATGGATGGATGAATGAGTATGAAAAAAGAAATTATAGTCACGCAATAAGATGCTAAGGCAATATTTTAAAGCTGCATACTTCTTTATAAAATTAGTGCATTTAACTTTCCAAATTGAGATAACTGTGTTTTTGCTTTAAGCTACTAAATTTGTGGGCATCTGTTTTGCAGCAGTAGAAAACAGATTAGTTTTCTGTTTTTCCAAATATTCTTGCTCAGGACTCCATTTACAAAACAAAGGAAACTCCCCCAAAGGGGACACACTTAAATGATATATGTATAGTAATTGTTGTTTTATATACTTTTTGTTTTAGCATGATGAAATTCCAGATACCAAGTATATTCTCATAAACACCTATTGGATGACATAATCCACTGGCAAATAAAAATTTCTTAATGTTAATATTTCACCTCTACATTTTTCCCCAAATGGACTTATAAAGTTAACTGAATATAAATAAAAGACACTCCTAAAATAATTTAGAATATATTCCTCTTTATTAGTTATTTTGTACTGAATTTTATATTTCACTGCAGTTTTTAGGTAAAAAGGAAAAGTACCCATTAATAAAATACATATTTAAAATTGTTATTTGCTTTGTTTTAAATATTTTATAAATATTTCAAGGATGGAAACTTAGTAAATATTATTTTAAATATTGAAGCCTAATGTCCTTGACTATATATACCAACATACATGTACACTTTATACATATAAATGTTATTTTATACATTAAGCATATATATGTGTATATATTATATATAGGTAAAACATATGTATTTATTTAATGTCTATGATAACTTCAGAAATGTAAACAATTGCTTTTCCTCTAATTTTGAAGGCCAAACCTCACCAGAATTCCTAGCTCTGAATATGACATGCTTTATTTTTATTCACTTACGACAATCTTGTAACATCAATCATGTCCTGCAGCCAGCAACTGCAGCCATTATGTTGCTCAGTACTCTCCCTGTGATTATTTTTCAAGTCATTTCGAGAGTACTTCATAAACCATTTTTAATACCACTGTATGGAAACATTATAAATTAATTCCATTGTTAAGAACTTTGAAGGTATGTAGCTTTATTTTAGCTTGCAGTTAGTTTTCTATCACTACCTTTATCAGAGGCAGGCAAGATAGAGGATTTTGTTGTTTGAAGATAAGGGTTTCATTGTTGCGATGTAGGAAAAAAAATGCTGGATAACAGTGAAGTCTTTTTTTTTTTTTTTTTTGGCATGGGGAGGGTAAAAAGGCAACAATGCCGTTTCCTCTCCCATATGCTTCAGTTTTCAGGTCTGATTTGCCATCTAGTCCATTAACATTGTGATTAATGAAAGTCTCTAGAATTTCAAATACCTTGAAAAGCAGCCAGTGCCTGCTCTTTGGAGGCTATGTTGAAAATAAATAACAATAAAAACAGGGTGATCCAGGCTTTTGACGTCTTTAAAGACATCATCCCTGTGATCTTTGTACCACTGCTGTGGAAAAGAGGACAACATTTCACATTTCTGGCATTACTAACAACAACACTGAAAGAAAGAATGAATTTCTGGGAGTAGCATTAGGATTCAGGGCTCCTGCTGAGCTCACCAGTTCCTTGCTCTGCACAGCTGCCTTCTCAGTTGGGGGTTTTAAATCAACACTGTGAGAAAAGGCAGAAATGACCACGGTGCACTTTCCTCACTATGAGAACAAGGTAATGTTCAATTAACGCTTCAGCCTTCTGTTTTCCTACTGACGTGTTTCTGTCTGTTGTTTGCACATGGTGCTTTGGGTTTTTGTCGTCATTATTCCTTTTCATTTCATGGAATAAAATGCTTAAACTAAAAATATCTTTGTGCAGTTATGCAAGGAGGATACTGAACTTCTCATGGCTTTGCTAAAATCAGTTAAGACTTGGAGGAATTATAGTGCTTTTAAAAATGTTATATACTCATACCCACAGTATATAATATGAAATCATGCTCATCTAGCTAAGCATGCATGAAACAGTAAAATATCACAACTGAGAGTAGAGCCTGTTTGAAAAGTATTCAACAAATGCAACACCTGACTTGTTGAGAATGCATGTTTACCTTTCCTGCTGCTGTGTTGATGAAAGATGTACATTATGGTGTTAAAGGTGAACTCTGTTTTAAAGCCAGTTTGAGTACTAATAAAATAAAAAAGTTAATTTCAACAAAGCAATGCTTTTTATCTTTTGGCCATAAAGAAATGGATTATCTCCATTTATACTGGTTACAAATTGTATTTGGAATTATATAGATACAAATTAATAAGCTTTTATGGAGTCTTATTTTCATAGGGTTATTTGGCTCTGTATTCTTAGAGACAAACCCATTAGGGTTCTTAGTTGTACTCTTTTATTTTCTTTTACAAAACAATTTATTTTATAAGGCCAGAATGAGACAAGAAAGAAGAGTTATCTGGCATGTGGATGTGTGACTGTATGCTTAGCTCTGATTTGGGTCTTATGAATTTCCTTTCAGATTTTCATTAGCCTTCTGGTTGGAAATTTGAATGCTTCTGTGTTTGAATAATCTTATTAAGAATGAAGTTCAGGGGTTGAGTGTTCACTGGAAACCTGTCCATTTAATTTTATTTTAAGATTTGAACCAAAAGATTGATTGTCACCCTTTTAATTATCACTCAATATAGAATCTGGCCAGTAATTCATTTTATAAACACATATTCTGTGCCGTATAGTGGCATTTCTTACAGGTTTAGCAATGAAGCAAAAAGATAAGCATGATGTTCTCACTTTCAAGGCATTTATAGTCTAATCCTCTTGATGAATGAGCTATTTTCTGAAGAAGGATTTAATATTTAACTCTATTGCTGTACAACTCATGTTGTACATGAGAAGATTTTGCAAAAACCCATTGAATTTCACCTCAAAGTAGAATAATATTTGCCAAATAGGCAATTTGTCTACAAAGGATTAATGTTTACCTACTCCGGCAACCACTGTTTATTGAATAACTATGTTGTGTCAGGCACTATTGTAAACACTTGGGACATAGCAGCAAATAAGACAAACAGAGCCTCCAGCATAGAGGGACCAAGGGTGAAGGGGCTCATGAACTTTTGCGTTTGTTTTCAGAAGGGTAAAGGGTCAAGCGTGAGCTAGAAATTGAACTTGCTGATTTGATATAGCAAGTCATCTGGCCCATTTGGTTTTCGTATTGGACAATGTTGGACAAGTATTGGATGAGTGTTTGAAAATAGTTTCTGAATCCCTGGAAGTGACTTTAAAGTCAAACAACAAATAGTTACTTATAATATTGTTCTCCCAGGTTCTGTGTTACGAAGACTGTGCAAAAAATATTTTACATTATTCACACAGTGTTGTTATTTTAAATTTCAGATGTTTACAAGAGATTAAGATTCTTGGCATTAGTTTTTCTGGTCCCTTGAACTATCAATTTGCAGAGCATACTGAGTCTTAACATTTACTGAAACTTGTGCCCTCTCTGCTGACCTGCTTTGGTTACTAGTGACACTGTTTACTGAGCATGGTTCTGGGATTTCACCATGAAAGGTATTTGGAAAACATTTATATGCAGCTCCATATCCCCTCTTTTTCATTTTGAATATACTGCATTTTTCTATTTTAAGATTGTAATGGGATACATTTTCTCTATTTTCTTTATTGATGTCTTTTTTGGTTTCTTCCCTGATTTCTATTTCCTGTTATCTATCTCTATATCCATCTATCTACCTATCATCTACTTATCTAAAAATGAGCATCTAATCTTTTTTATCTCATCCTCAATCCTCAGTGTTTCAAATCCATTTCTCTATTGTAAACTCTGTTATAATAGTTGAAAAAACTATGTTCTTATCCCCAGGCTCCCTTACAGTGAGAATGGCCATGTTCTTTAGCTCTGGACACTAAGACGTGAACATAAATTTGCTAAAAGCTCTATGAAAGATTTTGTTAAACCTGATATATGGGAAAGACATCTGCCATGGCTCCATCTCACTTTTTTTCGTGAAGGCAGACTGGGGTGCTGAAAGCTTCTGCAGTCATTTTGTAACCATGAGGAGGCAAATGTGAGAAAATCCCAGGAGAATTAAAAAAATGCCAGCCCTAACATGCTCAAGTGAACCAATGTGAGCTGCCTCCCTTAAAACTCCTTGGTGTGTCAGAAAAATACACCAGTATTTATTAAGTCACTCTACTTGGTGTTTTCTTTTACTTTAAGCTGGAAGCACTACCAACTGAATTAACATGTATAAGTAATTTATTAGAGATTGTTGACAGTTGAGCATTAGTGACAAAATGAAACACTTAACAATAGAGGCAAAATGCAATTCTTATCTTCAAGAACTTTATGGTGAAGATAAATACATAAGAATCAAAAGCCTTTGTGATACTTTGGTCTGAGACCAATTTGCATGGGCATATTTCTTACTGTTTCTTGGTGTTCATTTTTCATTTGTAAAATAAGTAATTGCATTATTTCTAAGTCCATTGCAGGCCCCAAATTTCTGACTTTATTAGAATAAATAAAGTTTAAATCTATGGATTTATAACACTACCTGTTGAATAATATTTTGAAATTTGTATTCCTTGGACAGTTTGTATATGAAATAAGTCCTTGTTTATACTTAGGATTCTGTAATTCTACATTGTATAGCTGACCTATGAGTTTGATATGCCATTATCCATGCTGAAATCTAATTTATTTAGTTATTTACTTACTGAAATTAGCATAAAGATGATACTTGGAGGCATCCTTTAGGAAGAATTTTCCCCAGCACAACACTATTCAACCTCACTAATTTCCATCCTTTTGTGAGTACAAAATTCACGCAAAATAATTACACTAATATTGAGGTATGTCTGATACACTAAATTTCCAATCCTTTTGGGATACAGCTGTGCAATTGTATGAAATTGGCATAAGGAAATTTCACTGATAGCAAGGAAAATGTTTTGAAATTGCTTTGGGGAGGCATAAAGTGTAAATAAAATGTTGCTATACTATTTAAAAGAATGTATGGGCAAATGTGAATTAAAGGGGGATAGATCATAAACAACATTAATTTTAAGGTTTATTTCATTTTTCCATCTCATCCTGCAATAATGTGGGGTTATATGAGATGATCAAATGTCAGTTGCTCTAATCAACTTTTTGACTATGATAGGTTGATACTTAACTTCTGTTTTTAATTTGGTAGATGTTTAACCTGAGATGTGCAAAGAAGCCATTACTGAAAACAGAAAATAGGTAAAACAGAGACCATAGAGAAAGGAGAGAATGGATAGTAAACAAAGAGCTTTAACACAGGAAATGAAAGAAAGGAAGAAAGAAAGAAGGAAAGATCTGTGTGTGTGCATGCACATACATGAGCAGACGTGGGCTAACTAGGGAAGGAAAATGAAAATGCATCAACATGAGGATGTGTCCTTTCCATGGGCTGAAGCAACTACTGCCATATAATTATCACTAGTCTTGTTTCCCAGAGTAAAGTGCAGTCCATGACCTGAAGAGCTGATCTGGTACTTAAAAATGAGGGATCCTTGGTTTCTTTGGAACAGCGTAGCACCCTGGGTAGTAAGGGAGTGTAAAACAAACAGAGATGTCTTTTCTCTGTGTGCTGGAAGCAGTCATGCTTGTTGCCAAGGAAACATCCTCAGGCAGCAAGGGTCACCTTTGGAAACAATGGGAAGACTTCAAAAGCAGATCGATGGAGAAATGCCAAAACCTGAACTTCCAAGCTAATGTTGTCTCCTATTTTAAGTGTCATTTCAACAAACACTTGCTTATGTGATTACTATGTACTGGGAAGTAGGAAGGCAAAATTGAATATGTAGTGTCTATCCCAGTATTTTCCCGTTCTGTTCTTGGAAGCCTCTTGTTTTTGGTAGAGAAGCTTAGAAAAGGGGAATGAGCAGGATCAGCAGCCTGGATGATGGATGCCCTGATGTTCTGGTTCAAAGAGAGAAGCTGTATGTAAGACTTCATTTGAAGAAAAGATTCTACTCATTAAAAAAAGAAATACAGATTCTTTACTCATACAAACACACTTGATTATACTTTGTGTAATTAGCGAGATTAAAAAAATTTTAATTTATTGAAATGTTTTGTGACATATCAGGTCTGTGCAGATTTTGTATTAATATTGTACAATTTCATTCACTGATTCACTTAGCAAATATTTATGATTTCATACTATGAGCCAGGTACTACTCAGGAAATGAGAAGTGAATAGAACACAGTTCCTGCATTTAAGGTCTGGGAGATTCAATCTGTTGCAGAAGGTAGATATAGGAACAAACAATGGAATCCATTATGGAGGAACCAGCGGAATGCTTGTAATTCATCTTGGGGTGGGAGGAAAGGTTTTTGGGGAGAGAAAATGCTTGATCTTAGTCTTGGAGGATGGATAAGCATTGAGTTGGGTGTCCCATGCTAGAAGGACATTCTAAAGGAAAGACAACAGCAAATGCAAGGTGTAGAGGTGTGAAGAACAGATTTCATCATCATTCTGTTAATGAAGATGAGGATGTATTTGGGAGTGCGTTAGGGGATGAGGTTGGGAAAGGGAACTGGGCCTGGATCATAGAAGTCCATATATAGTATGAAGAAAGCTTATACCTTACTGTTAGTTTTCCAGATTTTTCCTATATAACATTAGCATGGCTAATGGAATTATTCAATGATATAATAAATAGAACTTTAACTA